TCATGTTATATAAACTTTGTATTCTAGAATTGTTATATAGATTTTAGATTCTGGACTGAAACTCCCCTCTTTGTGGAGCCTTTAACTTATTACTGCCCCTTTCTAATGGCGTGGCGACCTTCTAAGCTGCTGCTCTTCTTTCTTCGGCCTTCCGGGTAGACTACTGGATGGCCCGTTGCACAGGTGAGAGGGTTTATTCTGCCTGTTTGTTGACACCTGTGTTGGTTGAAGCCTCTTTCTCAACCAAGCTCTCATGTGCGGGTGCACACTGCGACCAGTGATACCAGGTGTCGCCTTTCTCTTTCAGTTGAACTGCTGTAGTCATTCTGGCAATGACCTCGTATGGACCAGTCCAGCGTGGTTCCTTCCACTTTCGTTCGAGCACCTTCAGCTACACCACCGTTGCCTCCGGGGTCGCCCTGTCCACAGCGTGTACTCCAGATGTGACCTGTTTTGTGAAACTGGAGATTCTCGCCACCCCTGTAAAAAAAAAAAAAACGAGCAAACAGCAGTAGCAGACGTCCTGACTGGATTCTACGTTAGCATAGATCCCTCCAGAGTTTTGTGCACACGGTTTAGGTAAAAATGAAAAAGGTTGAGGTTTTACATTTAGTTCAGTATTACCTGTTGCCTGTGTCTTTGTCTTTTGGGAAAATACTTTACACAAGTAATGGCTCAAAGAGGATTCCTTTTTTTTTTTGCAATTGTTTACTGGATTATTTGTGCCATTAATTAGTGTCAACTAATTTTTATTCAATCTCCGCACAGGATATGCTTGTGAAGATGGAATATGGGGGAGAGCAGAAGTGCGTTGAAGTTCCACAAAGGGATGAATGAAGGACATGCATATTGTATTGAAGAAATAAGTGATGAGAATGCTGTTATTTGCATTTACCATGTCAGACCTTTTGATAAACACAATTCTAATGAAAGTGAGAACATGTATACTGTTACATCTTTCAGAAAATGTTTTGAAATTGTGGTGCACAGTTCAGAATAAATGTTTTTCAAAAACCATTGCGTCTTTTTAGTAAATGTTTATTTCCAAAAGAAATTTCTAGAAGTTCAGAACAGTAAAATTCCCGCTTTTTAGAATGAATTAGAAGATAACTCTTACGTAGTTAAACTAAAATACTCTTTGAGAGTTAATATATAAACTCTTAACACCAAGTGTTAAATTATCAACTCCAGACAGATTTGGTGTTTAACACTAAATCAGAGTTAACGTACCAACTCTCCAAAAGAGTTAAATTAACACTCTCTGGTGGACCACTATAGACACTTTAATAGTGTTGAAATCAAATCTGACAGTGTTAATTTTGACATGCTGGATTTGCTGTGTTACAGTCCCAGCACTGAAGTCCCTGCTGCTCTTTATACTGGATGTGCTGCATCACTGACTGACAGCTGATGAAGAGTCTCTGGAAACACTCGTTTATCTCCTCTGCTCTTCCTTCTTCTCTCTGCAGGTGGAGCTGATGATGGTAAACAGGACGGTGTGTGTGCTGAGAGAGGAGGAGCTGTGTCCTGATGATCCAGAGAGGTTGAAGCAGCAGCAGCTTGTGTGTAGAGACGCTCTGACTGGGCCATGTTACTGGGAGGTGGAGAGGAGAGCTTCATCCAGCAGTGACTGACAGAGGAATGAGAAGAAGTGCAGATGACTGTCAGTGCTGCAGAGTGAACTGCTCTGAGAACAGCTCCACTGTCAGACACAATGTAGAGTCCAGCATCATCCCTGTGTGTCCCTCTGGATCTGACAGAGGATCATCAGTGTATCTGGACTGCTCTGCTGCTGCTCTGTCCTTCTACAGTCTCTGCACAGTCTCTGTCTGACTCTGGCTTCAGACCCTCCTGGATCAAACTCACCTGGAAAGACTTTCAAACATCACTCAATAGATTTGAATACAGAATATATTTGATATATACTGTAGATGTACTGTAGAGTTGCAGTTTGTCACTTGTAAATACAGTCTGTGAGCAGCTGTGAGCTGAAAGATCTTTCTAGAAACACGAAATGTTTTCACTCTTCTGTTGCTTTTTCATATATTTCCACAACATTAATATTGATCCCACCTGTCTCACCTGTTTCATGCTTTTATACATAATAACAGGACACGTGTGATCTGAGCGCTGCTGTGGTTGCTGTGCTGCACGTCTTCATTTAGATAACAGAGACATCTAGTGGTTCAGAGGGAGAACTGCAGGAGGTGGAGCTGTGTTTTAGCATGGAAAACTTTTTATCTTTTAGGCGCAGATACAAATATGACAAGTATCAGTGTGAGATACAAAAGGTCACATCAGTCAGCAGAGGGAACAGTGATCACACAGCAATGTAAGAATAGAAACATAACAGTGAATCTGGACATGTATACAGATGGAAGCAAACAAACAGGATGTAACACTACATTAAAGCCACAAATGGGAAGAAAACAAAGCCAAAGGAAAATATATTTGATCTCAGGAATCCAAATCAGATGCTTTAGAGCAGGGGTCGGCAACCCTGGGCACGCGTGTCACAGCTGCCACGTGAAGGGTTAACTGATGGCACGACCATAGCTGGACTGGCCATCGGGCATACTGATGGTGATTTTTTTTTTTTTGTAACGGTATAAACAATGAATGGTGGATTGGCCGATGCTGGTCGATGTGTAAAAATAACTCAGTTGTTTGGTGGTGGCTATGGCGGAGCTTCCACAGAGGCCAGCAGGTGGATGAGGGAAAGGGGAGGCAGGAGGAGGAGAGACCCGAGGCGGCCGCCGGTCCGAGTGTCAGGTGAACTGAACTTCAGGTAAGAAGTTATGACCTGCAGTCTATCTGGGTCAGATATAAACCAAGTTTAGGTGGAGTTTATTTTCCTTGTGCTGACTTTTTACAGTCAGTTACAATAACTCCCACTCAGAGGAGACCAGAGATCACATTAACATGTGTGTCTCTGTATTAACAAACATGCCATATTGGCCCAGTTTATTTTTCTTATCATTGTTGTGAGGAGACCATAAATAGCATTTGTATTTTCTGTTGTACAGTTCATTTGCTGTTATGGATAAAAAGTCTTTTTTTGTTTCAAAATAGCTGATAACTATTCGCTGATAGCTGCCAAACATCTGCGCACAAATATAATTCTATAAAGTGGTATATATGATATGTTAATATCCAGTGTTGGAAGGTTACTTTTAAAATGTATTCCACTACAGATTACAGAATACATGCCCCAAAATGTATTCTGTAACGTATTCCGTTACGTTACTCAATGACAGTAACGTATTCTGAATACTTTGGATTACTTAATATATTATCATGCTTTTTACAACAACGTGAATGTACTATTGCTGTGTGATTTATTACTATTACTGAAGGTCCGCGACTCCGAACTGTAGTAAAGGGACCTCTGACTAATACGGCGGGGTCCCTGTCGGCTCGTAGCCGAAAAATAGCTTTACTTTGTTGTGTGGGTCAACTTTTCTTGCGAGAGACAGAGAGAGGCGTTGAAAGGCTGCTCCAACGGAACTTATTGTTTTCGGAGGAAAACACGAACACGGTGTACAGTCGAGTCTTAATAGCTTACTTACAACTGGGCTCGTCAGGCACTCTTCTTGGCTGAAGTGGTTATTATTATATTTACATGCTTCCAGCTCCCGTTTTTCCTCGATGACAACTCGTACCTTTCCACTCCCCTTTTTCTCCCTCCTCGCGCTCACAGACCCATAACGTGTATGGCAGTCCATTCTCCCTGCAGCACGGACTACACTGCCCATGATGCTACATTCTTTAGAGCTATGCTTGTAGCATTCTGCCTGTTAGCTTAGCACAACAACAACAACGAAAAGGCGCTCTCTCACCCAGGAAACACACAGTCGCAGAGAGAGAGAGAGCGTCGCCCTGTAACCATGGCAACCGTAACGCTGCCGCCTGGAACAACAGAACGTAGCTGTCAAACAAAACCCAAATAGTCCTGACCCGCGACAAAATGAAACAGGAAAGTACCGCAGTGTAATCCATTTATTTCAACAAAGTAACTGTATTCTGAATACCACCCTTTTAAACGGTAACTGTAACGGAATACAGTTACTCATATTTTGTATTATAAATATGTAACGGCGGTACATGTATTCCGTTACTCCCCAACATCATATGGCACATTGACTTCTGAGGAAATTTTAGATGCACTCATCATCAGAAAGGTTGCCGACCTAAACCAGGGGGTTTAGAGCATCATAGAGTTTTTGTGGTTTGTTTTCTTTAAGTCATTTCACAGATTTTCTCTATAATTTCAATTCCTTGAATAAAACAACAAACTTAGGGGATGATTTTGTAATCCGACTTTATGTATGAAAGATTTGACTAAACATAAAACAATCTTCCAACTCAGTCGTCATTCTTATCTTGTGAAATCAAACCAAATGTTCTGTTGTCTCTAAATCAGGGATTGATGAAATCTTTGGTTGCATCCATTTATGAACATGTTCTCATTCATATTAAATCGTAGTCTAAGTCCTTCTTTAGAGGGATAAATGTCATTCATTATCTTCAAATGTGTTTCTTTTTTTTTTTTTTTTGTTTTGTTTTGTTTTTTGGTTGATGAAAAACCAATAAAGAATAAATAAAAAAAAAGAACCTGTAACAATTTTGTATATATGTGTGTGTGTGTGTGTGTGTGTATTATGGTCTTTCACACTCATGTTTATACAAATGTAATTGTACAAATCTTCTCGAACACCACACCTGATAATTCTCTTTGAGACTTTCTAGTATAACAAGTACATATGTAAACATGTTACCAATATGAACACAAAGATTCTTATACACTTATATACTTCTTAAGAGGTCACCTGATTACCTCCCTGAGGTCGTTAGCATCACCACTGTACAAAACTCTTAAGTCACAGTACTAGGTTGAAGTGTCAAATGTTGTGCACTACAAATTCAGGAAAGTAGTGTCATCAGAGGATAAAAGTCATTAGCTCTCTGGATTTATAGTCACACTCATTAATTTATTAATGTTGTTGGGATTCAGAGATTCTTTTATTGCTACCATATAATTTGCCTTATGAAGAATGTATTAATAACATGTTTCACAGTATCATTTATCAGTAATATTTCCTACAGGGTTTATATTGCATTGAATATGTCTGTCATCACATTGACCTTTCTATTTTTATAGGTTGAGTTCATTTTATACACAATGCATAAATGTGCTTGGTTAGAGTTGATGTTCCATTCTAGAAGGTTTTAAGCTTCACTGGTGAGAGTGTCCAGATGATACATGCTGAGGGGAGATGAGAACATAGCAGGTTAATTGCATGCACGCTTACGATACACATATTAATCTAGTAGCAGGTCTGAGCGAAGGCCTAAGCGTCTTCTGCTTCAGTTTGAGACTGGCTGCAAAGTACTCTACTTAGTGATTAATGACGAGGGTCCATTATTAGCTCTCAGAGATGCTAAGACCTGAAGTTATTACCTTAAAAGGCAAGTAATGTAGAAAGGAGAAGTTATATGTCGGTGTAAGGTTATATGTACGTGATGTACCCTTGTCTGCACGGGTTGAACTTTTGCCCGTCTGTCACCATGTATTTTTGAACTGTATTGACGTAGGTGTGATATTTTATCCTATAAAACCAGAACCCAATGTATTCTTGTCAGAGCAACCCATTCCGTATGCTGACGGTTGGTTGTTCTCCTGTGATAATAAAACTCATCGTTTGATTGCACTTTTCCGGAGCCTCCGTAGTTTGTTGTCTGGTCTAAAGTTGATCGATCTCGCAGCATTTGGTGGAGGATGCGGGCAACTGAGGATCAGTAGAACGAGGTTCAGGTGTTTGTTGTCGGCGGAGGTTGAGGCCGGATCAGTGAATCGGACGGCAGACATCACGGTGATCACTTTGACTATTGGGCCCACAGAATAAAAAGGTAAGGCACAAACCTCTTAAACAGAAATTGTGCTGTATTGGAGTATAATTCTAAAACAAGTAGTCAAGTGGTCATCCGTTGATCTCTGTTTTGAGTTTTGTTTAAAATAGAATCTTTATTTGCAACGAAAGTGAAACTTGAGAGAATTGTTGCATTCACGGAAACTAGGAAAAAGCAGTACTGAGCTAAAAGTAACTTGAGACGTCGTTGTTGAAGAAATAGAGAAGAGAGACTGATTTGTGTGTAAGGAATAAAGGGATTAAGAAGTGTCTAAAGTCACGGAACCGAAGGATTCCACCCCCGGGAAAGACGTTTCCTGGGTATTAAACTAGGGGTGGGGCCCCGCTGAGACTTTGTGGCCTCAGATATAGCCCTGGTGATCGCAGAGGATCATCTTGAGAGACACTTAATAAATACATGTTTTAAGAGTAAATGCCGGACAGAAGTCCGAGGAGTTGACATATGATTTAAGAGACTCAAGCCAGCCGTGAGCTTGAGGGGCACAGTAATTGAGTTTGAAGTGACATGTGTTGAGAATAAATACCGGACAAGAAGGTCCGAGGTGTTGATATATGATTGAAGAGAAACTCAGGCCAAGCCGTGAGCTTGAGGTTTTGTAGTGAAGTGAGCTGATTATTAAAAGTGAGAAGTCTGATAATAAAATACTGTGAGCGTGGCCGTACTGGAGATTGACCATCTACCAAGACTTGGGACCTTGGTTTTAAAATAGGTTATGATCAGAGGATCATTTTGAGAGACACTTATTTGTGAGAAAAGAGTAATACCGGACGCAGAGGTCCGAGGAGTTGACATGTGATTTAACAGACTCAAGCCAGCTGTGAGCTTGAGGGGCACAGTAAACTGAGTTTGAAGCAAGTCAAGGTTTATGTGTTGAAGTAATTTTGATAATAATGCTGCAGGGGCTGTAGTAGTTTCATCCGTATCTAGAGAAAGGCATGCTCATTTCGGGATTGTGCCAAATTGAATATTCACGTACAGGGGATCTTCTTTACATGAAATGTATATGTTGTGGTGAAACGGAAGAAACACCTTGTGGTTTTACAGTGGCTGCAGAAATAAGACGGTCAGACTTACCTAGCTTTTTGTTCCGGTGTTTCCTTAGATTTAGATGCTTGGTAATGTACAGAAGGCAGAGAGGGCATTTTCTTCCTTCTGCGAGCGTGCATTTAATGAGTTTGAAATTCAGTATCAATAGACAGGGTAGATTACGCGTTGCCGAATCAGAGAACGACTAGTAGTGTCTGAGGGGAGCTCCGCCGCTCCATATCCGGATCAGCTGTGATCCACGAGTTAAAGTTGAAAACAGTGACGTAAGAAACCATCTGAAGTAATTAAAGTGCTGCCTGCAGGCTGGCTGTGTGAGGCTTTTTAAAAGTCTCTTTTCCTTTCTTTTCTCTCTGGCGAAAGTAAAGTGTCAGTAAGAGCTACTGGGTGCAGCCTACTTCCCCTTTTTACTTCCCCTTTGAACAGGAGAAGAAACATGCACTGTAGGCCTCTTTAAGATTAAAAGAATAACGTTGCTTGTCTGGTGATTTAAAATAACAGGCCTTGCTGAACGGTGTGAGTTTGACTTTAACAGAAAGAGAAGAGAATTGTTTTTAACTTTGTGCAGGTCTAAGGTAACTGAACTATACAACTGCGCAGTTTTTGGGTTGGCCCGCACTTCCTCTTTTTACTGAGGATCGGTCTACAAGTTGCATGAAGTATAAAAGCTCTGTGCTTGGTTTTTAGAGCAAGAGTTGCAGCTGGTGTGGTGTGTTTATTTTGTAGCGCTGATAATTGTGGCTGTTTTGAGAATTTATGAAGCAAATGCTGTTCTGACCCAGTGCTGGTTATATCAAGCAGGGTACGAAAAGAGGAAGTGACTGCTCGGGCTGCCACAGCGCTTCTGACGGAAGGAGGAAGTGACTGTTCGGTGGCTGCAGGACATCTGATAAAGAAATAGGGAAGTCGCCTCAAGGAGCTTGCAAGGAGGAGTCATATAGCGGCCATTTCGGGAAAATCTCAGAGGAACCAAAATGGAGAGCTCAACTATGACATCTAGTGGACCAAGGCTATATAAGCCACTAAATGATCAGCTGGAGGAGCTGAGCAAAGCCATCCACATGTCTTGTTCAAGAACAACTAAAGCAGCAGATAAAGAATTCAAAGCTGTAAGGAAATATGTGGAGAAATTATGTGCTGCCCAACAAAAAACTTTGCAGGACAGACAGCCTCTATACTTGATCTTCAAAGAGGAAGTCCGACAGAAAACACCTGGTGCTGTCAGGATGTTTAAGTGACACAGAAGTTCAGAAAATCGAGTCAGAAATGGTTTTGTGGCTCTTGGTAAACTGATTTTGAAGGAAAATCAGTGTTTATTGTGCTGAAGTAACAGATCCGGCGCGGTCTGATGGGAAGAATCAGCTGTACAATTCTGAGTGTGCAGCTTTGTTGATATTAACAGATCCGGCGTGGTCTGAGGAAGAAATAAATCGGTGAATGGTTGATATACTTACATGAATTTTGGTGGATCCGCTGAGGTCCAGAAAAATAATCAATGCAGACTGTGTTGGTTTGGATGTTGATAAATGATCCTGGAAGAATTCCTTACTCTTTTAGTTTCAAAACACGAAGGGTGTTTGTCTCACTTTAAGGTTGGATTAAGAATTACTGTGTGAGGAACGGTTTCACTTTTGACTAGGGAAATAATATGCTTACTTTTGGGTCTATGAGAATTGAATTACAGTGAGAAGGGGATCTTCTGAATGCGCATGCCGGGGTAAAAAGAGTGAGTTCGGACGAGGAAGTCCGAGAAAAGGACACCTTGAGTTGAGCAAGGTGTTTAACTGACTCAGGATTTCAGAGAATCGAGTCAGCTGTGATCTTGAGTTCTGATGGTAAATTGATTTTAAAGGAAAATCAATGTTTACTATGATGAAGTAATTCTGAAGATATTACTAGATGTGCTGTGATACAAGTGAAGATTAAGTTGTGTACATGAGGATACACAATTGTGTCGATATTGCTGGATCGGCTGCGGTCCATTTGATAAGTGAATGCTGACAAGAAACTGTTTTAAATCCTCACTGGCAGCGGTGAGATACATGTGCTGAAGATTACTGGACCCGGCGAGGTCCATTTGATGAAGTTCTTGGGCAGATAAATGACAAACAGTTCTTCAAGTGTGTGGAGAATTTAAAAAAGAAAAAACTGAACTTGCAGGTTCTCTGTACTGTGTGGACTTATATCAGAGTTACAAGTCCAAAGGTTATGCCCTGGAGGCCAAGAGTTGTGTATAGAGAAGAACATGACTTAGAAAAGGACATTTAAGGTCACATTTTGTCTAAGATGGGGAGAATTGTCCCATATGTGTTTATTTCTCTTCTCTTTTAAGAGGACAGACGCAGTTACTGAGTGTTGTCTACTTCCTCTTTCTGATTCTTGAAAGCATGTTTGATAAAATACTCTTAGGAAAGCGTATTTTGAGTGATTCTAAGTGTGTGAATGCTGTGAGTACTCGATTTGAATGATTCTGTGTGATTTGTACAAAATAATAAATAACTAATAATAACTCATAGGCGAGTGTGTGAACAGAGGAAGTCTGAGAGAGAAGTGTGTGCGTAGGCAAACTGCAGAGTGTGTGCGTGAAAGAGGGGGTATTGTTTTTACATCAAGATTTAGTAGAACTAAAGTAGAACGTCACAAACAAACAGATAAAAAAGTAAAATAAAGAGAGAAAATAACTGACAATTACATTAATGAATAGAAAACACACATACACAAAGTGCCATATGTGAAATTATTCTAGGAAAGAATCAGAAGTGAGATAGTTTAATATAAGATGCAATGAAGGAAGCAGCTTACACTCCTTTAATTTCCAGAGCCAGTGTGTTCCCTCCCCTCATAGCACCCCTGCCCACTTGGCCCCCGTATCAGGCGAGTATGGAAGGCTGGATAGCCCATGACGGGTAAGATCCCACCTCAAAACCCTGGGACAACCTAAGGCAGGCACAGTCACGATTACTCGGCCTCACTCAGTCCCTGTGAGCTCAGACTCACTGGTGAGATGAAGTGAAGAAGACGGGACCTCAAGGGTAAAGCCGCTGGGCTGAGGCGGAGGTGGAAAGTGGCAAGTGAAGCCCTACCTTCTGGCTGAGGACAAGGAATGCTGTTATTTAAGGTGGGAAATCAGAATTGGGTTAGCAAATTTGGGAAGGAGAAAATTGACTGTTTAAAGGGAAAATTATGAAGGAGTCTGACACACTGCAAAAGCAACATATGCAAATTCACACACACAAGCAGAAAATGCATTAACCTTACAAGACAAGACAAGCTCGTGGAGATTAATGCATAGACATTGATTAAACCTGGCTAAGAACACAAACATACGCAATGAAGATCAGCTTGCTATTTGTATGAGTGGTAGAATGGTGTGAATGTTTAATAAAATACATTGAGTTTGAAGTTGAGGAATAACTCAAAGAAGCTATATGACAAAGGGAGTGAGTTATGGAAAAAACAAAGAAGTGATTAAAGTAGCTTTAAAAGAGTGACTTAGGAGTGCTCTGGTACTGAGTGATCAAAACCAGTGATCACTGTAGAAAGAAATAAAATAATTTAATAAGGTGGTAATGTTTAAACATATGTTTCTCTTGTTACGCCAACTTATTGAGATATGACTCAGTATGCAAATTAGCTGGAGTGAGTGGTGACGAAGGAGCTTCCTGTATGTGTGTGACTGAGGCTTTCAGGAGAGGAAGCATGGCAGACAAGAGAAGTGCAGATTTAGATAGGAAATTGTGTGGTTTTAATGAGACTTTCGGTGTATTGAGGAGGTGAAATTATGTGGTGGCAAAACTTGTGTGTTTAAGGTTGTTGAGGTTGTTGTGGTGATGGGTTGATTCTGTCAGTTAGGTTCGGGTTGTTTTGTTTTTAATAGAGGGAGTTTTAGGAAACATGGACATGTCTAAGAGGGGCCCATTATTTTTGTAACAGTGCACTTAAAGAAAACCTGTCAGGTGATTTTGTTTTGTGTTTTCATGAGCTAATAATCAGCTCTCTTTTTCTCATTTTTGTTCTAAGCAGGCCTGCAACAGTGAATAACAGCGCTGAAAATTCTCGGGAGAGCAAATATAAGGTGGGCTTTCCAGATTTCAACTGGCTGAGGAGAAGCCTACCTGTGATCAGGTCTAAGTCCCTGTCTAAAAGGATTGTAGCGATTCAATCCAGTCAAAAGCATAAAGAACTAGTTTCCTAAAAAAAGAAAAAAAGAAAAAAAGAAATAAAACAAATGAATGAGCTCATGTTGCTGATTAGCAATACCTGGTGTGAATACGTATGAATGGATGTGTGTAAATGGACGGTGACTGGACGGACGAGGTGAACTAAGGTTGGACCAACTGGACACTGAGATAAAGACTGGACTAAGGTTAAGCACATGACTGATGACTGTTCTGTTTTAAGTTTTCTTTCTTATAACACAGATTGGATCATAAGTGAGGAAAACTCAGTATGAAATGTGAAGTTCGGGTTAACACACAGGTTTTGTTTACCTGAGAGGAGGATTGCTGAGGTGTGAAATGATATGACTAACCTTTTTCTTTAATTTTCTAAGCTCAGGTGAAGCATTTTGAGTTTGTGACACATCTTATGTTCTTATGTGTCACAAAAGGGGGGATTTAAGGTTTAATTTGAAATGGGTTTTAGGATCATTTTATGACTTTTGGGGTGTTTGATGATTTAGATATGGTAAAACTGAGGCAGAAATTGTTATTTTCATGTTTAAGTTGAAGGATTAAAATGAACTGAATCCTGTTTAGAAGATAAACTCTTTACACACATAAAGAGCATTGAGATTAAGTAAAGTTAATATAAAGGATAGAGCCCAGAACATGATATCTTGAACCAACTTTGAATAATTAAGGGAACATTAGATGAACACAGTAGATTAGTGAGGTGTAGCAGAGAGAGGCTTTTTGTTTTCTATCCTTTACAGGAGAACATTCCAGTACCACAGCGACC